AAAAGGGGGATAATTACAAAAGGAAAGGGGGAAAAATTAGAAAAGGGAAAAATCAGACAAGGAAAGGGGAAAAATTAGACAAAATATGGGGAAAATCAGGCAAGGAAAAGGGGAAATTGGACAAGAGGGGTAAAAGACAAGGGGAAAAAATAGAAAAGGGGGGAAAATTAGTCAAGAAAGGGGGAAAAAATTGACAAGAAAGGGGGGAAACAAGACAAGGAGGGAAATTAGGAAGGAAGGGAGAAATGAAACAAGGAAAGGAGGGAAAAGGAAACAAATGCAGTCATTCTTGTGCTGGGCTGAAGGAAAACCAAGAGCTGGAAAAGGAGGGGAAACGGATGGAAAAGGAAAATGGATGGAAAAGGAGGGAGAATGGATTGGGAAGGGACAGAAAATGGATGGAAAGGGAAGGAAAGAAGCCAGAAAAGGAAGGAAAACGGCCAGAAAAGGAACAAAATAGGCCAGAAAAGGAGAATGGATGGAAAAGGAAGGAGAATGGATGGAAAAGGAAAACTGATGGAAAAGGAGGGAGAATGGATTGGGAAGGGATGGAAAAATGGATGGAAAGGGAAGGAAAGAAGCCAGAAAAGGAAGGAGAAGGGAAAAGGGAAGGAAAATGGATGGAAAGGGAAGGAAGCCAGAAAAGGAAGGAAAATGGATGAAAAAGGAAAGAAAACGTCCAGAAAATGAAGGAAAACGGCCAGAAAAGGAGGGAAAATGGATGGAAAGGGAAGGAAAGTGGACAGAAAAGGAAGGAGAATGGATGGAAAGGGAAGGAGAATGGATGGAAAGGGAAGGAAAATGGATGGAAAGGGAAGGAAAATGGATGGAAAGGGAAGGAAACAATCCCTGTGCACTCCAAGGTTGCTCTGCCAAGCGTGGTTGGTTTGGGCCACACTCACACACAGCCGGGCCTAACTGTGCCCCAGGAAGGGCTTTCCTGAGCCTGGCCTAAAGGGAGGCCCAGGAACTGCCACATTCCAAGGAAAAGGCCGGAGATTGGCTGGGAATGCTCAGCTCCACGCACACGGCTTTGCTCGGGGAACGGCACTCACACAATTTTCCTACAGCTAAAAAGAGTCCAAAGAGAATTCCAAAGATTCTTCTAGAAAAGAAATCGAAATATCCTTGAAAAGAATCTTCCAGAAAAATAAAAATCCCAAGGCAGAAAGCGCTGAAGCCTCGAGGGCCAAGTTTTGAATTTTAATTGGATTTTTTTAATTTCTCCACACGGGCCTGAGCCCTCCTAAAGGTTTAAAATCCTTTTTTATCTCCTGAAAAAAATGGGAAATGCAGCACAAAATTCCACAGCTCTGCCAGTGGAGTTTATTTTTCCCAGTCCTACAACAGGAACCGGTTTTAAAGAAGACCCCCCCAAGCTCAGATTAATTTGAGGATAAATTTTCCTCTTCTGATGGAGTTGGATTTAATTTCCCCCACGAGCTGGGGAAGCTGCAAGGTTCAACATTAAAGCCTTGCAGGATTTTTAGCATTTGGAGTTTTAATTTAGAGATAATTAAAATAAATTAGAGATTTATTTCTTTGATGAAAGAAATTAGAGAGAATTTAGAGAGGGGTTGGGGTTTTTTCTTTTCAGGCTTTGAAAACTTTTTGATATTTTTGATATTGATCAAAATATAAAATGAGGTGAGATCAAGAATTTGCAGCTCTAAAGCTGAAAAAATATCGAGAAATTAATAAAAGATTGATTTTGATCGATGGAAGATTGGTTTCAATCAAGGATGGATTTCAGGATTTTAGGATATCTGGATTTTAGGATTCCTGGATTTAGCTTTGGCCCAAATTTGGGATTTTTGGCATCACTCAAACAGCTCCTGGCACACAGAAAAGACACAAACTCCGAAAGATTTGCTTGGAAAAGCTTCTGAGAGAAGTTTTATTCCTCCTGCAGCCACAGGATTTGGGATTTTCCTGGATTTGGGTACTTACCAGCACAGAGCAACATTTATGGAACAGGAGCAACCTACCTGGGAGTGCAGCAGGGCTGAGGTTCCTCTTCAGCATCTCGTACACAGGGCTGGGGAGGAACAGGAAGATCCCTTTTAGAGAGAGCCCAGGAACCACAAACCCACTCATTTTTTATACATTTATCTCCAAAAACCATCAGGGAATCCATTTTCCTACAGATCACAAAAATCATGGAGGTTTTTCCTCTGGAGAGACCTCAAAAAAACAGTGGGGTTTTCTAACAGAAACCACTGAGGTGTTTTTTCCCTAGAGATCCCAAAAATCAGAGGGATTTTTTTCCCTTGAGAGATCCTAAAACCCACACTGAATTTATCCCTAAAAAAAAAAAACTAAAAACCCCAATTAATGGTTTTTTACATTCCATTCTGGGTTCTGGGTTTTTGGTTTTACATTTCTCATCACAACCCTCAGCACACAACTCTGATTTCAACTGAAATTCACCACCCAGACTTGGAGAAAACTCAGAACCAAAACCCAGAACCCCAAACCCAGAACCCCGAACTAAAACCTAAAACCAAAACCCAAACCAAGATCCAGAACCCAAACCTAGAACCCCAAACAAAGACTTAGAACCAACAACTCAGAACCCCAAACCAAGACCTAGAACCTGAACCTAGAACCCAAACCTGGAACCCCAAACCAGAACCCAGAACCCCAAACCCAGAACCCCAAACTAAAACCTAAAACCAAAACCAAGATCCAGAACCCAAACCTAGAACCCCAAAGACTTAGAACCAACAACTCAGAACCCCAAACCAAGACCTAGAACCTGAACCTGGAACCCAAACCTGGAACCCCAAACCAGAACCCCAAAACCAATAAACCCAAACCTGGAACCCCAAACCAGAACCCAGTACCCCAAAACCAAGATCCAGAACCCCAAAACCAGAAACCTAACCAATACCTAGAGCCCCAAAGCAAGACCCAGAACCCCAAACCAGAATCCAGAACCCAAACCTAGAACTCCAAATCCAGAACCAAGACTTTGAACCAAAAACCCAGAACCCCAAACCAAGACCCAGAACCCCAAAACCAGAATCCTAGCCAATACCTAGAGCCCCAAAGCAAGACCCAGAACCCCAAACCAGAATCCAGACCCAAG